TATTGTGAATATTTACCTCTATTAACCTGCAGTCTGATCATGTTCCAGATATTCCAAAGAGCATGAACTCAAAATCAACTAAAAATACAGATGATGGCCCTTCTAGGATCTCTTTCCTTTTGTCATGTCCAAAGTGTACGAGCGGTAGCGCCGAACGCAATAGATGAGAAAAACGCACATAAGGTGCGAATAAGTGCAGACGTCAACAACTTTAGTTCTAGCAAAATCTGCTACCGCAACAACACCTTGTTCTATCTGTGGATATTGCAGCTTTACAATCAAATAGTGTTGGGTAGGGTGAAATATGCTCTAGTTGAACATATCCAAAATTTGCATGATTTGGTCTAATAATAGAAAAGTTATGAACGAAAAAGCGTCGAAGCATTTCACCGAAGACTATTGAGCGCTACTGTACATATATTGCTTTATTCCTATCATATCTTACCATATCGTATCAGAAACTCAATGCTAGACACATAGGGCTCCAGAAAACTCCCAGAAGCTTTCAATAAATAATCTCTAGCCCTAATCACTATTCTCGATCGTTCTATTCTTGCAAAGCATTGATCATCTTCACCTATTCCGTTCTTTGAAGCAAACTCAGCTCATTTTACAAGTTCACCTTCACGAGTGGTGCAGAAACATGACAGGGGCATCCATCAGCAGCTGCTATCGGGAGATCCGAGTTCGATTCAAACACAATTTCAATAATACATATATGGACATCAAAGCCTTTTTTTACGCTTCTTTTTGAAACTTTTGAATAAAGGAAAAATTCCAAAAAAATCCATCGGGGTTTGATCCCTGGACCACAAATGGTTGAAGAGGTACACTCCTGCTCCACTACCCATGTCTTTACTGAAAAAGTTTTAAAACACATCCTGTCGGTGCTAAGCTGACCGTCTTTTTACCTGAAATGCTTCCCAGATAGCTAATTCTACTGTAATCTTTCCCACGCTTGCGCAAAAATAGAAATCCGAACTTAAACTTTGAGTTCGGGTAAAATGCGAAGTTTCGTGGGAAAATAAATACATGGACTCCACCAAAACTGAGAACTTACAAAGCGAAAACGAGCGATGAAATTCAGAGGGTACGACAAGGGCTATGAGAACGTCAGAGGGATACAGTTGAACGTGTTGGTTCTCTGAGGGAGTGTTGGTGCTTAAGCTAGTCTATAGCGATTCTTCAAGGTAGTTTACTCTAAGGAGCTCTTAAATGCCTAAATGGAAGGCAGCAAATGGATTTCGGGTCCAGCAAAAACGTCAATCGTCCCGAATACATCACTGTAATAGACTAGCACCAGGAATCAGAGCTCGAACAACAATCCATCAAAACGATTGCCAATTTACTTAGGTCCTTACATAAACTATCACCGGAGCCTTAACTATGCTCTGAGTCGAGCCTAGTTAGCGAAATCTAGCCGCAGGAGCTCATAAGCGTCAGCTTATTCATTATAGCGGTGGGGGAATGTACTCACATTATCGGCCAGGGGTAAGCTGGCGATTGGAAACGGCAGTTTCTATGAACGCACTATTGATATTGGTAAAACAAATAGTATTCACACAGTTCACGGAATGACCACTCTCTTTATCAGAGTTTCCTTCAAAACGGTATCGGAGGAGTATAAGCCAAGGAGAGAGGAGGGTGTATGGAACAATCCAGAAGGCTCTGTTCCTGAAGGTAATTGGGCAAGCCGTTCCAAAAGGCCATCTTTCCCACACCACGCTTAGGAGCTGCGACCTGTAAGCTGTCTTGATAATGGAATAGAATCCTCTGACGCTCGACCAGAAAATCAAGCTTTCTGTCCTCCAATATTAATCAACTGGTACCAGACTCGTGTGAGAGGATAAAGGCACACTGGCTTGTTCATTAGATGGCCAACGCAAGGCCAACGTTGTATGGACAACATAAGCATTCGAAGTAACACTACTATTCTTAATGGCAGTCGGGTCCTTGACGTATCTCAAAAAAGATTGAATTATAGTGCCCAACTACAATTTTTATATTATACCGAGAACCTTCTACGAAAAGGTGAAACATTGATGTGACCACCTCAATTTCAAATGATGCACTTATGACGGGAGAGATTATTACCATTAGAACTGTCTTGAAGTAGGAATGTCACATAAGGAGTTTCTGACCCATTTCGTTTTTCAAATGTCAATTTTTCTATTCCAATCACCCAAGACACTGCAAGACAATGAGGGAAATTTCAAATTTCATCGAAATCTTTTTCGTTTTTACAGAAAACTTTGTAATATCGAACTAACATTCCTTTTTGAATAGCTTTTCGGCTCTCATTTACTGTTTTGGAAATGTTTTAAGCAGTCAGCGACTACTATCACAGCTAGTTCTGATTCACTCCAAGCAAAAATTCATTCACTCTGTAATTACAAGTACAAAGTGAGTTTATATTCTATAGAATCAGCACAGCAGTTCGAGCTTATGCAAATTCGAGAGCACTGAAACTATTGAAAAGATTTCGCCAAGAAATCTAAGTAGTCTAGGCTTTTGGTTTGCACTGGGCCTGAAAAGTTTACGATAAAGGTGGATATTATAGTTACTCGACAAGAAATTGTCAAAATAACTCTGGACAAAAGGGATAATAGACTATTGGCCATTCCAATGCTCTAAGTAAACGCAGAAAATCGAGATATCTGACAACAGCATACTTACTTACATAGAGGTTCTCAGTCGGGCCGGAGACTACGAACTTTCAGCAGTATTAGGAAGATAAACGGATCACTACGATTCTTTTTATATCCTTGCTCCCTCCCTACATATATGATGATCTTTGTGCTACAACTGGCTTTATCCAACACAAATCTGCCCGATCGTGACGTGCAAGACACAGAGTTGCTCATTTAATTATCCCTTCCCATGCTGAGGTGTTCACGTCAATGAACACTATGTTTAGAATACACTTTGGCAGGTAGCATAGTCCTTGCACGGGCTCCATCGTACTTAAAAGGGTTGTGAGCTCACGTACTACGTAAAAATGGGCCTTCTTTGGTACAGCGAGTTTACCACAGGTTTGTCTACAAGATCTAGAAGCAATTACTCATGGTAGGTTCCAAACTTCCTTGTTCTGGTAAATGTCGCAAGTGTGGCGCGTCAAACCGCAGAAAATGGCAGAACAACTTCTTTACCCACTATGCTAATTCATACTATATGAACATAATCCTAAATTATCAACAACATTTAGAATCTCTATGCTATATGGCTCTGCCTTAGAAGGGTAAGAAAATTAAAAAGTAGAGTAGATAGAGGTCTTCGAAGGGCTACAAATATAGGGGTAGAGAACGGAATAGGTAGGGTTTCTGCTGAATAGAAGAGGACTTCAAATAGTCAGATGCATTATCAGCCCTGCTCCTCTGTGGGCATGACAACAACCGATGTGACAATGATGATAGCCAATTCGAAGAGAGGCATTTGTAGCAGTTTATTGACGATTCCGCCTCGTCGTCATCATAAAATCGTCAGTGACACGTGAGAATATGAATGGAACGATATTCATAAATACAAGACAGAATACGTAAAGCACCACATTCAAAACGTTCAAGTGCCATTTCTATTGTTTTATTCAAATTGTCACTTTCTAATCTATTCGACATTGAAATAAATTACATTTATTCTCATCTGCATTGCCCGTTCGACTTTCCCCTAGCACGCTAATCCTTGAGAACTTTCCCCTAGGCCCTCCTAGCTCATCTACAGGCACTGCCCTCCTCTCTAAAGACGAGATATGAGTACATGGCTTATTTTGAGTGAATTCAAGCGTTCAACTCCATTTTTCCTGGCGTTTATTTTTTTGCTGAATATGACATTTTTCTTGTACTAGAGCTTTTCAAAGCTTGAAATTATGATCAAGGGGAGTTCCGCACTTTTTCAGAAGGTCCAAACCGCTCAACCACATTTCAATGTTCACTTTTACAAGTATGGAGGTGTCAGGTTCTGCGGTCACTAGGGTACTGAGGTTCCGTAAAAAGAAAAAATCCATGGTTCACCAGATGGTAGTTGAACGCTGGGGCGCATTCCTCACCATCGGACGGACCTGTTCAACACCAGAAAACTTCATTTTCATCTCTTACAACACGGAAAAAGAGTGTTTCCGAGATAAACAACTCCGATTGGATACCGAAACCTTTCAACTCAAAACAAAGATATGTAGGTTATATGGTCGATAAAGTAAAAACAGATAACTTGTCATACTTGTGCTCCACGCCTTGCCCGCAACATTGGCATTACGAACTGAAATAACTCATTACGATCTCTCTCCAGCGTGAATTCAAAACTTCCCTTTCATAGCGCGCGACTGTGCGCAAACGGAAGCGGCGAGCGCGACGCTTTCCGGGGAGAAGTTGCCACACCCTTATGTATGCATCTCAATTCACTTTTGCCTTTTATTAATCTTCAATTGACAGAGCAGCGCCATCTCCCTCTTCTCCATCCGATCAGGATTCCTTATCTGAAACAGATTTTTTTAGTAAATTTCAGATGGTGTGGGATAGAATGGGCCACCTTTAACCACAAAAAGCACTTACTTGCTCTCTCCACTCCGTTTTATAAAAAAATCAAGGTAATGAATTGGCCACTCCTCTGGATTGTTCCAGTTCCATTATCTTGTATTTTTTTGAACTTGAACTCAATACCGTGGAAAATTCTTTATTACAGCATTTGAGATCAATAACGATTGCAGGAAGTACACAATCCACCAGAATCAGTGAGCAAATGCGGCCCCACGAGACAATTTTTAGGAGTATTTCGAATGGGATTCTGAATTCCAGGGGCGATATATGAAATGAGGTAGTGAAGGCATCTGCTACATAAAATATTTGAGGATAATCACATTTTCAATCACCAGTATAATAGGATTTCAGGAAGTGTCGTTAGGCCACGATGTACACGACGAATTCGTGTCGCTTGTTGGGCGCGACAAATTCGCGTTCTGACCAAAGAACTCCATTCAAAGTAATTGAGCTCAACAACATATGCAAGCACTACAGGAGATCTCCTAAATAACCGTGAACCCGAGCCAACGATTTCCATCGACGTTTCTCTACGGCTTGTGCCATGTCGTGGAGTAACTTATCCACCATTGAACGAGAAACTCGCAGTCGCACATCGTACTCCCACTCGACTGTTCCCGAAGAGCATTCTAAAGCACTTATCTCCTGAACTGATAAGTATCCATTTGTTAAACAATATGACACCCAAGAAATGTGAAGCAGTCCCATTTTAATCAAATTGCAGGATTCATAAATATATTCACATCCACAGTTAGGACTGCCATAAAATTTTATAGCAAAAAACTGCTGAAATAAATATTATATTTTTCTCCAAAGAGAGCTCACCTTGCAAATTGAGGTCCCTAGTCAAGGGAGGATACCAAGTGAACCTCGACGAAACCATGGATCTAAAAAGATTAGTTATTTTCATCTTTCTCAAATTTCGAACGAAATATCTTTGTAAATAATTGCAGATCGTAAACAAAAACTCGGTGAATTTTGGTGGTGTAGTGGCAAGTGGCGCACTGTCAGGGGTTCGAATCCNNNACTTTATCCTTATCCTTTATCCAACCTGAGGGGAATAGACTGAATTGTATAAACTCCAAAAAAATCGAAACTGCGCTTTATATACTGGACCCCTCTAAAGCCTATTGAATCTACAGGTCCTAGCCTTGACATTTTCTCTAAACAGACTACTAACGTATGCTGTAAAGGAAAGCTTAAACTCATTTTTCATTTTTTCCGTACAAAAATGAATTGGCTCACCTCATGTGCGAGAATATTCCGTCTGGTACCGCTGACCGGTCGCTTTCCTTCATTCCGTGAAGCATGAAGTCTCTTTCGTAGCTCCAAAGGCTATTCGTGATCCAAATATCGCGAACCCAGCCAGTACCCTGAAGTACAAAAAATTTGGAACGCAAAATTTTTTCTTTGAAAAATTTAGCCACAAGAATTTCTTGTTGTTGCAAACACTAAATCTTTCCGTCCGATCATGACACTGTTCTGAAAAAAGGGATCGCATCTTCAAAAGACGAATTAATGGTGTTCGAGAGTGGCTCAAAATATCATTCCTGCTTTTTAGCCTTTTTATTGAGATCTTTCCAACTTTACAATAATCGCCTATTTTACAATAATTGCATTTTTTTTCTTTTTTTAAAATCTAACTCAAAGTTGGAAAAAAAGGAAATTGATAATAGTTCCGTACCTTCCGCACGATTCGCACCTTATCAAAAGTGTTTCTCGACCCGATTATCGATCGAATGCACGATTCGAACAAAAACAAATCTTCATATCCGCTCGATTGGTGCCAAATTGAATAGCATACATGAGCATCAGGTCGACTACCAGGGACTAAGGTCTCAAGCAGATATGCCTGAAAGCAGCTGGCGATAATCTGGATATTCCTTCCGAGAACCCTTGAATTCTTACGTGAATGGCTCCGTTATCGCTTCCATGAAACGAGTTTGGTAGGCGATTCTCAAAATCCGCGAAATTCATAAGGAAATTTCGAGAAAATTCCGTATTTTTCACGATGTATGATCCCATTGCCACTTCCCAACTACAGAAACGATCATAAAAAGTAATATCGTAGCGAGGGTCTATGTATTCTTCGATTAACCTGAAATCGATTTGGAATTATACATCCACCGTTTACTTTTAATTTGTTTACTCACTCATAGTGACCCTAGTGCTAATGTACAGCCTTGGCTGTTCGCGAAATTGCTGGAGAGGAACCACTAAATTAATCTAACTTTCCATCGCCGAATTTCTCACCCACAAAGATTTTTTATGGGATTCGCAAGAACAATGTACGGGACTAGGAGGGCTTTTACTTTTACTTGACATATTACCATCTGAATGCCTCCTGATGAAATTTTCATCACAACAAATGACGTCTAGTCAACGGTCAGTGGGGGCTTCCCAGATCTCCTCAATCTCAAAGTCTTTTCTTTCTGAGTTTGTCGAATCACTGCACTCATGAAACCACTACCATTCCTTCTTCGATTACTGTGAAAATTGGAAAAAGTCGAGTGGAATATTGTTTGTTTTTTTCTTCATTATTTAAGTTTACTGTAATTTTCGTTTATGATTTATTAAATTTTCACCTGGTCGGATTCACAATGCCAATGTCAGCATCGATAAAAAGTACCCAATCGCTCGTTTTTAAAATCTCAGCAACAACACAATGCCGTCGGAACATCGGCTGTAACTAGTATGTATTGCTCACAAGCCATCTACAAGATGAAATTAGTAAAAAGCAAAAAAAAATCATTTGAAGAAGTAGATCTTCAAATTTTGCTCTGAATAACTGGGAATAAGGAATCTGTCATTATTGTAAGATGTACTACTGATAAATAAATGGCCTAAACTACAAGAACTCACGTCTTCCTGCTGGCATCGTGGATATTTGTTACCGTTTACAATCAATAACGTATAATTATGCATTAGAGAATAGCATCGCACCGTATCCAAAGCGAATCTTCAATACATTTATTTATTTATTATTGTTTCTCAAGGGCGGAGATGTTGTAGTGGCAAGTGGCGCACTTCACACACTCTCATGGTCACGGGTTCGAATCCCGGATCGATATCCGCCTAGACCACCACACCTTCCATCGCTTAAATGGTACCAGACTCGTCTGGGAGGATAAAGACACTGACTTGTCCATCAGCTGGCCATCGCAAGTCATTGTAAAGGCCACATACGCATCCAATAAGCCACTGCGATTTCGAATGGAAGTCGAATGCGTGGGCGCATCTCTCAGATGGGCTTGATTAACGCCCCAAAACTTCATCCTTTTATTGTTTCCAAAGGTAGAGGAACTAGAGGAAAACGATTTTGTGACCGTTCCTTTCTTGAGGTATGAACGTTTCATGAAGGACTACCTTTCAGTTTTACGGTAGCTGTTGCAGTGAGTTTGTATTTTGGGCAACCAGGTACTTTGCGACGACAAACGCTATATGCAGAAGTTTCACGCTATACTTGCTAATACTGGTAGAAAGATGATCCTATCCATAACCCTCCCGATATCCACCTTTTTAAGCAATGTAGCCTTGGAGCTTAACCTCATCTTTCACTTGATCATCAGGTGAAATTCTGACAGCAGAACCATACTGTATCATAGAGGGTACCTAGTAGAACTTGTTAGCTTGTTATGGAAGTTTTCGTGTGCTTTGTTACCGTAATAATATAATAACACTTGAACACACCTTGAATTTGTGTTAACTACGTAGGAATACCAAATCTCACTTGTATTCATCCATTTGAGTCTCCTCATAGATCACCACAACAATGGAAATGTTCAATGAACGATAAGACACTCGTCTTGTTGTCAACTCTACGCCGTCATCTTGTACCGTATACTAAATTTTTTATTTGTAATACTTTTGAAATTAATTACCAACATAACTTTTGTTTGATCCATCAAAACCATTCCAATTCCAACCATTCAGAGACTGCTTTGTTAAGACACATTTTCGAAGGGATATCCCAGGGTGAAATGTTCCTTACCATTCCTTATCATAAGGAACTGTAAGCGTGCATTTGTATGGTATGCGGTAGAACAGGTGCACACACTAAAGTTAAACAATTTCCTCAGAAAGAAAGAAGAAAGGAACACTTTTTCGTTATTTGAAGCCGCTTATCGTCTCATATTCTCTGAATCTGGGTAAATTATGTACTGTTTCTATTCCTGCCCTTGGCAGAAAGCTCTGCTGCTGTTCATTCATGAACGGTCAAGGGCGGGCCATCCTCCATTTCAGAATCCATTAGCTGAGACTGAATCAGCCTGAAGGGCAAATACCAGTCAATCTGTAGGCCTGATTATTGTTCTGAATACGAATAGAACATACGGCGTGCCTCGAAGGAAGCGCTTAGCAAAACTATCCCAGTCATTTCACTTTCTCTGGTGGGTCTTGTACCTTGTTTCTTTTCCTTTCGATTTCGCATTCTCGAAAATCCGGTATAGGTCAGTTGGTGCGATGCTTATCGCATGGCGGAGCAGTTTGGCCCTTTCTCAAAGAATTTATTGTCCAGCTAAAGAAGTTTCTTTGCAAAACCACTGGATCCCAACGACTCGTTAGGAAACTGCCGACGAGTCCAGACAAAGACCAAAATGCCACAAGTGTTGTTTTTCCATCAACTGAAGCAGTTCAAACAAAGTCCAGAGGAAGAGGATTCTCAAGTTAAAAGAAATTAAAAGTCAACAAAAAAAACCTCAACAATTTCGTCCTTCCCTATGCTCATTTTTTAGAATCTCTTCTGTCTGAGTTACGGTAGGGAATTGATTACAACTTTTCATCAAATACCATCCACTCAGCGACGCTGCTAAACAGGCTAAAGGGATGAATGGAAACAGTACATAATTCATGAAATGTTTACAACGCCCTTTGCCGTCAGAGTTGCCCATCCATGGGGGTCTTCGACGGCAATGAGCGTTCTTGACCGGTTGTTTCTTAAAACGAGGGCAGAGAAAGTACGATCCTCTCCATCAGCAATGCCTACCCAAGTCCTCTATAACTTTGTAACTATTCAGGGGCAGGGAGATTATTTTCGAGCAAAATCTTATGCGATAGCTCACCAGCGTAGTCGGACCACTAAAAAATAAATAGTGTGTGATAAAAATGAACACGAATATAGCAGGTAATGCGACTAGTACGTGAAACGGCTCGTATGATCGAACGCCTCGCCCTCGCTGTCTGGACATCTGTAATCGTTACCGTATCACTGAGTTTCTGACCATTCACAGCAATGGTAAAACGATGAAAGTGTGCCGTAGGGGTAAACAACAGGTCATATCAGAATGACGAAATAATTCCTTTTACAGTCCTTTGGCAAATCCTCTTCCCTCACAAACGCCTTGTATATTAGAGATCATAGGTAGGTCTTCAGCAATCTCTCTCTTTTGCATTTTTCATTTTTCTACTTTTTGCTATTCTCTTTGTATGATTTTTGTAAAATGTGCTCGCTATTGGTGAGTCGGACCCGATAAAAGTCATAGAACAATGCTTGACGAATTGAATCACAAACTGGAACTTGATGATAGTCAAAACAGTGTGTTTAGACTCTTCCCTCAACACAAAGGGAGACCACCTGCATGGAAAACTCATTAAATATTTCTTCCTGTGTGACTAATGGGCACACCCTTGAGGTGCATGTAAATAAATAATCAAGTAAATGAATAATCAGTAAAACGAAGACAAAGGAAGTAAAACGAATCGTGCATATCGATTAGGTGTGCACTATGCGCCACAGACTTGGAAGTTTCAGTATTGCAACAAGGCAATTCATTTGATGAGTGCAATAAGGATACGGCCGTATAAAAGATTCTCCCATCTTATATTTCAGTTCAGGGTCAGTGAATATGTTAGCAAACATCGACAAAAAGCATCAAAGAAAGGAATCCTCCCACATTCCAATGTTCTTCGAAAATCCCAGAAAGACTTTGTTGCTATAGAAACTCGAAAAGAAAAATTAGTACGAAAGATAGATTAGAAATGATATTTGCATCTACTATTCATCCTACCTACTATCCTCTCTTCTATCCATTAGCTATTTATATTCACACAAGTAATCTCGTATCAAAAAGGTGTGAATGCGGCACCTGTTTTGAAGACGAAACTTTGCCGAAGGTTAAACTTTTTTCCCAGTGGAGCAAATCACATGAAATTTCGATATGTTTGGCTGAAGCATATTTTACACTGTCCCACACTACCTGACTGCAAAACAGCCATATCCACATACTAATGGGGCGACTATTTGTAGACTATGCTGAAAGCAAGTTTGTGACGTCTGCATTTATTCCGACCTTATGTACGCTTTTCTTCTCTTCTGCGTTCGACATTAGCGCTCGTACACTTAAGACATGGCAAAAAGCAAAAGGACTCCTAGAAGGAACATCATTCGTATTTCCAGTTGATTTTTTNTTCAAGCCCTTTTGGATATCTGGAACATGATCAGATTGCAGGTTAACAGTGGTAAATATTCACACTACACCAATGCTACACATATTGAAATTTCGCTTGAATAGATCCAGCAAGAAAGGAGTTATGACTGAAAAGTACGAGTGAAGAAGCATTTGGCCGAATACTTTTGAGCGCTACTGTATGTACAAGACAAAGAAAAATAATCTGAAGCGAATCAAAATATAAAGGCTGGAGCAAGTCAAAATATAACATTCCATAAAGAATGATGATTGACGCTTTTCGTATGTCATGAGAGAAGAATTTTTGAATAGTACAATATGATTCATAACGTTATTCTGTGATACTGTGATACAGAACAGCACCTACTAAGAAATCATTTGAATTAGGCATAATTTAACCCAAATAGAGCTACCGAATTTAACTAAAATAATGATTCGCTTTTCTTAATAAGGAAATCACTCTGATCTCTCCGCATCCCTCAGACGGGATTGACTAACGCCAAAAACTTTAAATTTAACTTTAACTTTTATTTGTTCAAGTGTTTACTACATATTAAAGAGTAGCTCAATGTAAAGGAAAAAGGGCTTCAGAAGGATCATCACGCCGAACGATCATCAAATTACTCAATATTAAAATAGCCCAATAAAGCTGTTTACTGAATATTTTTACGAAGAATTGGGAGAAGAAGGTAGTTCTTTTCGGTAAAGGTCAAGATAAACACAAACACACAAACAAATAGTAGGTGAGAAAGGACGAAGCCTTATGTAGTACGGCATGAATGAGGCTTGTAGAGCTCAATGAGGCAGTCAAGGATAAGTAAAAGTGTCTACGAACATTGAACAAAAGCATTTAAATGAGAAAACCGGTTCTCTCTCACAATCCAGCCTTCAATTCAAAAAACGGACGGAATGAACGTAAGTTGTTCAGATCAGATTTCAGAAAGACAGTTTCTCCTTTTTGTGGTTGATGCCAACTATTGATATGAGACTCTACAAAAACTTCATAACCAGAATTTTCAATGAGAATACGTAACCGACAGCTATCTCAGTTAAAAGAACCACCTATGGGAAGGGCAAAGGGCTACGGAAAGTGTTAGATATGCGTGTGATCCGTGTGAAGATCCGTTCAGGCGATTGTATTCTTAGATCGGTCGAACGAAACACCTTGTAGGCAAACACGGAGGTCCATCACATCCGGAATCACCCTAGTATGAAGGATTTCAATAAAATTTCAATAAAATTTACAAGAATAAATGTTGGCACTTGGCCATAGTATGCAAGACATTCCACTTAGGACAATGCCCAAGCCAGAGCAATAGGGCGAACAAAAGTCTACATTATTCAATGCCCACATAACTACCGTTGCTAAGATGTAAGAATCTTTAGAAGTGGTGAATCGCGCCATTCCTATCCAAAACCTGGAGCCATGCATTGAGGACTTGCTGTTTACAAGCATTTTTTGGTATAACCTACTGAAGACGTGCCTTTTCTGTACATACTCAGTACATGGTTATATAATACACACCCTTTATAGAAAACTGGGTACTATTCCACTATTACAACCCCAGAAACTCAAAATTTTAATTTTCGATGAAACTTCGCCTATAGGGGTAATCCGATGCCCTTTTAACGAATATGACCTTCACTTTTGGCGCTGGCGCCAAAAGTGTTTTCACCAAATTTGCTGAAAACTTGCGTTTAGGGGTTATTTGAGGTTCTGATAACGAATATAACATCCATTTCTGTGCCCTCAAACAACGAATAAAACTTTTATTGAGCCACATCGTCTCCCCCACAACCTGTATGCCTTGTCGTCACGCCAAATGGCCTCAGCGTGTAAAATGAATGTTATATTCGTTATCAGAACCTCAAATAACCCCTAAACGCAAGTTTTCAGCAAATTTGGTGAAAACACCCTTGGCGCCAAATGGCGCCAGCGCCAAAAATGAAGGTTATATTCGTTATCAGGGCATCGGATTACCCCTATAAGCGAAGTTTCATCGAAAATTAAAATTTTGAGTTTTTGGGGTTGTGATAGTGGAATAGTACCGAAAACTGTTCCAATTTCAATTGCACTTGTGCTTGTATCACGATGTGCTGAGGAATGACGTCATTAATGTCAGTTTGAATGTGGCGCTAGAAAGCAGGCCCACAGCTACTGTAGCCGTCACGTGACCGCGTCTGCAAAGAGTTTCGAAAATGCCTCGGTGGGCGGGGCTCGAACCGATCGATTTCCCCATTCCCTTCTGTGCGGTCCGGGTTGCTCGTGGTGCGTGTGCTTATCGCTTCTCACTTCTAGCATTCCTAGTCTGTCCGTTATAGTTCCGTCGTGAACTCGTCCATCTATTCTCTATTCTAGAGTTATGCTCACAGATTTTTTCAGATCTGAACCTGAAGTTCAAGCCTCATTCAACGTATCAAACTGTGTACCGTTCAAATTCAGTAACGATCCAGAGGCTGTGGTCTTTTATTCAACACGATACGAGGACGATCTCCTAATGAAGTACTTGGGTGAGTCAGGTCCTGGTGAGAGTGTCGATGAGAGTAGCGCTGAGTTCACCAACTACGGTTCGTTCATTGACGAATTGCCCAGCTATTGCTACATCGATCCTACTCGCTCTCCTGACTGTCTCCGTGAACGTACCTCTTATTCTGATGAGGTTATGATGTCTACCGATTCTGCTGTCTCATTTGATTCGGACGTTAAACCTGTAGAACGTCCTGCATCGCCTCCAAAACCATCCATTTCAAAGCCAACTCGTCGTGGTCGCCCTATGAAAGTCACTAGTACGTCAAAGATGGCTAATTATGCAAGAAATTATCGTGAACAGAAGAAGAATCAGTTAGCTGCATGTGAGGCTCAAGTTAGAGAGCTAACTGAGGAGAACAAATTTCTTCGAGCTGAAAACAAACGCCTCACTGAAGGGTACGCCAGGCTCAAAGAGCAAGTCGATGCCCTTCGTAAAATGGTAGAAAACAACTCTTATTTTTCCCGTGATCCATTGCAGACCCCTAGCTTCAGTGGGCCTGCCTATGATAAGAATTCCATCAATGACTTATTTGATATCAATGAATTAATGATGTTCTCACAGTAGTTTTGTTTAGAGCGAAATAGATTACGTGTATCTTATGTTGTATTAACTTGCATTGGACATTGTGAAGTTAACCTATATATGTTGATGTCATAAATTTTAAGTGCTATCTATGGCTCTCGAAATGTTTTTATGACTGTTGAATTCAGAATGTCTATTTCCGGAGAAATGTCAGTCAGAGCGGGGTGTGATGCCGATCAGCTGGAGCCTTCCGCCCTAAGGCATAATCAGTAGATGGTTGGTGATATGCATTACGTATTGTATTGATATTTACTTGGTGCTCAGGTTATTTGTCATAGGAAAATCTCTTGGTTGAAATTATCAGCTGATTGTTTGCCGTAGACTGCGCTGTGGGTAGAGGTTACCCAACCGCTGACGAGGAAGGCTGACCGGGCGGGGTCGTGCCCGAGTGGAGCGGTTTCCCGAAGGTTGGATTTCTCGTACATTTGCCTGACGTACAAGTTGAATTGACGATTAGGTTAGCTTAATAGTGATTTTCAGGTTACGTTATTGATTTCGTAGTTGGGCCCTTCGTGCCATGCGGGGTATCCGTATGTAAGCCGTACGAATTTTTCGTTGACGGTGCACGGGGTACCACTCGTCTTCATTGTCAAACGTTGTCACCATCTCTGTTTCATACGAATGATACTCGTCACGCTGTCGCTGTTTCCAGACCACGGAGTTCAATTCGGTTCCGCCATGCTGTTTTCCAATATAATAAAGAAGTTGAATAATTTGTTGTTGTGCAATTCGTTCGAAGACGTGAAAGCGTCAAATACCTCTTTTTTGTGGAATATTTAAATGTGTTCTTTGTGGCTTATTTAATACGATGCGCTGACCTTGAAACCGTAGAAAATCAGTTTCTTAGTTTTCATGGCTTACATGATTTTGCACCAAGTTTGTCACCTACAAGTATTCAGGGAATTTCAGACATACGAATCGGAAAGTTTCTTGTGGAGGCTAATCATAGGGTAAAAATGAAGATGGAGGGTAGAGCATCCCTCTTCTTAGGTACAAGGCGCTAGGGTGCAGTGAAGGGGGTGACCGACTCTGAGCCTGTGATTGTGCTTGAAAACGTTTCTAGGCGGGTTAAATGTCACAGGAGGTAGGAACACGGCGGTGTACCTTTTGAAGAAAGCTTAGATGGGAAGGAAAGGAGTTTTCATTTGAACTTTGAACCTCTCCGCGCTCGCTCCAGGTGTTGATAAAGGGGATGCCCACTTCTCCCCCNCCCCCCCCCCCCCCCCCCCCCCCGCCCTATCCATGCTTTCGCCCAATGTCGGTGTCGGCACTTGAGGGGTAGACATGCCTTCGAAAGTGTTCATTAAAGAATGCGAGTATAGGTGTTTGGTGAGTCCTTGATGTAGGTTTATGGCGGTTGTTTAACCAGGAAAATTTTGAATAATAAGTTCATTTTGAAATCAAAGGTTGGTAGAGGGTATGGCCGAAATCGGGCACTGCACAACCTAGAAATGCACTACGGAAGGAAGAGTAGTTTAGCCTTTGAGTGGTATCCCACAAAGTCCCTTATCCACTTCCATTTCGTTTGTTCAGTAGAACCTCGTCTCTGCTCAAACAGCTAGCTAGAGTAATGACAAACTAGATTTTATGCTCGTGATCTAATATTAGAATTTACAGTTTGAGCAAGTGTCTGACATATTTAAGCAGTCTTTATGTTGTCACTTCATGTGTACACATATAGCTTTAGGAGTAGTAGACATGAATGAAAAATCATCTTCACAAAGTATGGCGTCGATACGAGGTGTTAAAAAGAGTAAAATGCCTCCATGGCGCCGAAGTTGCATACGTGAATTTCTTGGAAAAGGATATCCACTATGCCGGTACTCCGGAAACGAAATGCAGTTGGTATGATCCTATACCTATTCTGACTTTTTTATAATAGTGACAATGAGCGCTGAGAGCTCTGATAGTGAGTGTGGTGTGCATCAACCACCAACCGATCAATCAAGCACCTGCACGCCATCTTCGTCCGGGGCGTCTACCCCAACTTATTGTGCTACCCGAAGAAAAATATGCAAAGGAATGAGGAAACAATCTCGCAGCCGTTACCTTCTTGCAATTGAAGATCGTAATCGGCTGCGAAAATTGGCGGGTGGGTTTTACCATTGATATCATTTACTGATTCTAGCAATGGGAGCATCACAGCGCTTTCTTACAGCTCGAAAGATAAAGCTTGCAGCCAACGCAGTTTCTGCTTTGACACTTCGACGATGGGAAGAAAAGGTACTATTGCGATATCACGAACAGTGGCGAACACACTTGGTAATGAGCCCAATTCTGAATTTCAGATTGATCGGAAATTCGAAAAGAAATTCGAAGAGCAGAGGGTAAAGGTTCAACAGTTAAAGAAAGATAATGCATTTTTACGAGCAAATCAACGGATATTTAAGCAAGGCGTTAGTTTTTGTAATTTTCGAGTCCAGATCTTATTGTGTGGGAGCCAATCTCATCAGTTTTAGTGTTCTGTACTAGAAAGTTGTGCTGTGGTGCTACAGGTGAAACTCGAAGAAGATATGGATGCTGCACACCTCTCCTTCCCTTCGCCACATGACTTTTACGTCCCGCACATCTGAACAGATGAGAGGAATTCGTTTTCATGCATTTTCCAAAAAGGGCGTTGACATGCAAACCACCGTAGCAAGTATCGTAGGCTTGGATAACAGTTGTTCCAGTATTCTTTCTTGAAATACTGGTCATGCTAATTTGTAGATACTTGATACAGCTTAAATTTGAAGGATGNAGATATGGATGCTGCACACCTCTCCTTCCCTTCGCCACATGACTTTTACGTCCCGCACATCTGAACAGATGAGAGGAATTCGTTCTCATGCATTTTCCAAAAAGGGCGTTGACATGCAAACCACTGTAGCAAGTATCGTAGGCTTGGATAACAGTAGTTCCAGTATTCTTTCTTGAAATACTGGTCATGCTAATTTGTAGATACTTGATACAGCTTAAATTTGAAGGATGGCGTTTTTTCCGATCCCTAGAAATGTTAGGGTGCCACTGTGCTCAGGTAAGCACTTCATGAACTTGATATTGAGTTCATGAAAAGGGTGAACTAGTTCATAATGAATAGTACTGGCTACCCTACGATATATGCTGCGGTGGTTGGTAATTAGTTCGGGAAATTTTGTGAAAAAAAAATCATGTGGGTTCAATCGAACAGAGAACTGGGAAGAGTCAAAAAGAAGTGATGTACTAAATGAGATCTCAGCGTAAACGCGGTACCACTAAATCATTGTAATGAGAGATTTTCTTTCAGTCTTTCGTTTCGATTGCCTTGTGCAAACACTTCTGGGTAAAAATGTGTAAATGTCAGAGTGTAAACTGAAAAATATAAAAGGTAATAAATATTCAAAACTCATTTGAAGTTGAACAGTGGAAAAAATTAGCGTAATGCTGTATTTATTGGTGAATAAAGTAATAATAAACAGTGAGATCACAAACACACGTATATGATTTCTTTCACATAAGCTTAAACTGGTACGCTGTTTTTNTGTAAATGTCAGAGTGTAAACTGAAAAATATAAAAGGTAATAAATATTCAAAACTCATTTGAAGTTGAACAGTGGAAAAAATGAGCGTAATGCTGTACTTATTGGTGAATAAAGTAATAATGAACAGTGAGATCACAAATACACGTATATGATTTCTTTCACATAAACTTAAACTGGTACGCTGTTTTTCAATATGATGAAAAACCCTTGGAATATGAAGAGAGTAAGAAAATAGTGCAACATTTCATGTGGTATAGTAACAACATAACAAAAACGAAATACACGTAATTATTCAAGTTGTATTCATGTTTTGTAAATCAACCAGATGACGAAGAGTTGGGCGCCCATGTGGGCAGTTCTGTAAGCGAAAAACTAACAAACTTTCAAGAGATATCAAAATAGTATTCACAAACCCATGGTTGATCCAGTGTACTAAGTTGACGCACAATCTGAAATACAATCAAGATCAATGCAGAAATATGCATTCTAGTCATTAAAATGTCATGAAGAAGTTTTGTAGTTGTGCTATGCTTCTGAATAAAGGTACAGAGTTCCGAAAACTATGAAAACGCTTGTGATTTTACTCCAATACTATTTGACTGGTATGAAGTAAAATTATCTCTATTAAAAAAGTGAACAGCCTTATGTCCCGAAGACTTACTGTTTGCATCTGTGCTGTGGTAAGTGTTGTGCCAATCATCACAGATTTTCGACAAGCTCTAGATGCAAATATTCGGCGTAGTTTTGCCGGACGATACATCACACCGGGAAACTCTGATACCACGGTCAGGATTTCTTCAATGTCTACAAACGCAAGGTATCACTTCCAACAAATGAATAGTGATATGGGACAAGTCTATATACCGCTTTTATCAAACTGCCAACTATGAAGAACAGGTGTGGATACCAGAAGAGGGACTGTGCAACCGTCTGCTAAAACTGAAATCATCAGAAACGTTCGAGTTGTGAAATTACCTCACCTCCGTCTTTAAACTCAAAGCCGAAGCCGTTGGCTTCCAGAATGTTCAAATTGTCCTTTAGAACTGACGCTTGAACTGCGCCGATATCGAGAAGTTGTGGTCTGTAAATTGAAGAGAATTTCATTCAGGGTTAACGTACTGCGTAGCGAAAACAAGCAAAGTGGGAACGATGTGATACGTTCAAAGAACATTGAAGAGCAGACCGTGTCAGGATGGCCTTTTTATTTGCTCTGGTATAGTGAAGAGCAGACCAGAAAGGTGTTATTAATAGGACATATATAACAGTAGCAATAGTTTTTGACTAGTGATAATTCAGGTTTGGAGTGGCGGATATTAGTTATATTAGTTTCCTGGCATAGAAAATGCTAAAATCGTTGCTTCAGGCAATTGTACCGGTATGCTTTCGAGTAGAGATTTGGTCCATATGTAAATCGTAACATTCGTAATTCAGAGATATTGTGACAAGTACAATCTCACTATGGTCATGGACGGCATTCGTAATCACATTCATATAAAAGCACGACTTCTACAAAGACCACACGGAACTTACTGTATAAGCCTTTGTGTCTCCACTCGAGCCTTTTTTTGAAAGCGTTCAAAATTAAACTTTTCGTCGCTGGCGTGCTGATCAATAAGAAACAAATGATTCCGCAAACGAGTGATAATGAATCCTTTGTTGAACTGTCCGATCACAGACATTTGATTGAAGTCGGATTTTCTAGAAGGGATATGTTATTCAAGTGGCTCTCCCTTAGTGGGTTCCCAATTCATACTTGAGTATGCGATCGAGCTCCTTTTCTGCGAGCTCGTTCTCAGAAGGACTCAATCCAGCATGGAACTCCATCTCTTGGCTGAAGTATTTAACATCACAGAGATGATGTTGCTTAAAAAAGTGAGCTGCAAACAAACTAATCTACCTTGCTTGTTCCTCTTTAGCTTTGGTATCACGCAAATTATTCAAACGCTCCTTGAGAGCAGACATGGAAAAGGATATCTAAATCATCGACACATTTGTACTTATGGACATGGGAAGAGGATAGAGGTAAGGAATCTAATAAATAGAGCCTACCAACCTCACAAGACACACGTAGAGTAATAGCCTGAGAAAACAAATAAAAATTACCGTCTGCTGCGTTCGCAAAAAGATGCCAGTTTTGTCTGTGGTCTCTGCTGTGTTCGCTGACGATGACACCCTCTAGAGAACCGTGTTTTTTATATGATGAAACTCAGGAAAGAGGGAAGTCACCTCGTGATGCACAACTTCAACTTCCCTTCGAGTTTGCCTGCCACATTCTTCTCCATCCATGGTTGTTTCCATTTTCTCTATTGCGACTCGATCCTTCTCAATATTATTTTCGAATCCTCGTGATAGATCTCGCATCAGTGATGGATTGAACGACTTCTTTTCATGACTGAACTCATCTAACACATCTGAAATCGAAACGCTGAACTTACACTGACAAGAACTCAATCGAAATTAAGTTCACCTACAAACTATTTACCAGATAATCCTTTCTTCGGAGTTTCCTTGGACTTCTTTGTAGCAGAATCTTTTGTACATGTCGCAACGATAGGTGGTTTTTTTGAGCTCTCGGGTTTTACAATGTAGGAAGAGGACGACTGCGCGATCTCTGCGGAAGACGAGTTTTCCCGTGAAATCGGTTTGAATGCGAATGCATCCAAAGTCATTGTGCTGTCTACTTTGCCCTGAAATTGTTATCTAATGGATTATTTGAGTAAGTTGACAGAGGTAATGATCGGGAGACAGCTCTGGTATGGGGAAAGGAACGAGTACAGTACACAGAACTCATTTTCTCGTTCTCTTATGCCTACTATTTTTGCACCTTTTATAAACGCAGTGGCACTACTAATTCCCAAAGAAAGCCTCGACTTTTGTAAGGACTTCTCTACTCTTTGAAAACACTACCAGCAAATGTTCACCGAGCTAGCGCAGCAGCTCATTCAAAGCATTGCAAACAATACGCTCACGATTTTGAGTCGAAAACTGATTTCGTTCAGGAAGTAAAGTGTGTATGGAATGAATGAAGTTGGAAAGAGCAATGAAATAACCTTAGGAGCCGTGAAGGAGCTGTCGGTTTTTGACTTCTTAGGAGGCGGACCACCTCCAGCAAGAGAAGAGGCTTTTACTGAATTAGATTTCAGTATAGAAAACAAAGCGCTCTGAGCGGATAGCGGAGCATTCGAATTGGAGTTGGAAATGTCACTTCGATTCTCGTCGTCTGCAAGTTTTAGATTGATTTTCCAAATTCTAGATATGCAAATGAGCTTCATCACCTTTACTTCGCGAGTCCTCTACAGATGTGTATGCGCCTAGAAGCGGATGAAAAGTAGCCAGCATCGACGACCGAATAAGTGCTAACAATTCCTTCTCTCTTTCGAAAAAGACCATTCTTTTGTCGGGTGTGACATTGACATCGACCATACCTTAAGCACGTAGGGGTTATCAAGGAAATACTGCTAATCATCAAGGAAACATACCCGGTGGGACTTCAATGTTAAGCACGAGAGTTGGATACTGAGAACGGTTGTATTGCTGGTACACATCATTAACTACTCGACAAATCTACAACAAACAATTGAAGAGTTCTTTTCCAGGAAATGAAATGAATGAATGAAGTTCCGCAAGTGCACTTGTGAAAAAGAAGTAGGAACGATTGAACATTTAAATGAAAAAGAAATCCAGAATATACCTTCGCATAGTCGACTGGACGTTGATTCACGTAAACAAATTGACGATCGGCAGCACTGCGTCCAAATCCATGCTCACACGAGCTCACAAAGCCGTTTATTCTAATATATAAGGCCTTGAGAAGTTGTGAAAAAACCGAATATACTTACGAGTAGTCTGCATAAATTTCGGTGTTCTTTGGTTCAAGCCCGTAATTCGAGCAAACTTCATCGTTCGGTAGACAGCGCACAATGTCGACCATCTTATTTTTATCAGTTCGTCCGCCGAACAAATTAATTACGACCTTCAATGAAAAGCACAAACAGTATGGGCCCAAGAGCGGTGCTACAATGACTCACATCTCGAATAGTAGCATTTCCTGGCGTACAAATTAACTGCTGCCGTTTTCTGAAAGACATGTGAATGAAATGGGTTCATAGTAAAAGCCAGACAGCAACCCCCATCATCTTGTTATTTTAAAGCATCAAGCCATATCAAAATAGCTACGAAACAAGGATTCCAAGCAAAGTAAGAACATTCATTCAACTCCCGATATGTAACTTCAAGATTGTAGAATGTGGCTTAATAAATAAAAAGGGCAAAGTCCAAGAGTAAAACTTCGCTCACCCCGCTACAGTATTGTTGCAGACGAATTTGATGTCTGGTCGCGAAAGAGCAAAGCTCTGCACAGTTGCTAGCACTTTACTGAACTCTTTTTTAGAAGTCCTTTCGAATTCTTTTCTGCGGACTGGTAGCGTTTCGAAGAGATTTTCGACGATTACAGTGGCTCCTACCTGAATAGAGATTATAAAAAAACAAAACTCTTTCGAGTTTTAGATAATCTCTTGTAATTTGGAGATCCCAAGGAAGTTTCTCAACTAATCACCTTTAAACTCACCGATCTGGCTGCAGATACACTTTCAATAATGTTTCCACTGTGATCAAATCGGAGTTTGGTACCAAGGTGGTCAGAGCGATGTCGAGTTATCACGGTTATGGACCTAAAACCACGTAAGCAATAGCGTCTCCATCAAAAAATACCAGAACAATAAAAATTTACTGATTCAGTTCGAGTTTCTGCGGAGCTAAGTATAAGTAAATGTTAAATGAAAACTCACGCCAATGCACAAAGGGCATTGAGTGCCTCACCACGGAATCCAAGTGTAGAGAGATGACCAAAATCATTCAACCCACTTAGTTTCGAGGTAGAATGTGGTTTACCTGCAAAATACTTTTCAAAGAGTGCCATAATTCGCGGGCCTCTCGCCTAATTATCTGTTCCTAATCCGAGCTGTCTCTTCTGAACACCACTGAACTCATTTGTTAACTTACTAGTTAGGCCCTGGAAATGAAGGCATTCAACAAACAAAATGAACTCACAAAGGAAATCGAAATTATCGGATTCGATACCAGTGCCGTCATCGATAATTTCCACAGATTCGTATCCGTTGTTTCTCGCACGTATTTCTGCAAAGAGCTTTCAGCTCGTCTTCACCAAAGCGCTCAATTATGGGCGAGCTGGGCAAGAACCACTCCGGTGGGTGGATTACCTTTGGCCACTGACTACAGGTCTACAACTTGTGGATCCAATAGATCAGTAGCTAAGAATGCTTCAGCTTCAGAGACCAGTAGCTAAGAGTACAGCTCCTAGGTTCTGCTTCAACAGGCTATGAAATTGTGAATAGGAAAAGGTGGGTATGAGGGAAAAGCCGAGGCAATTGAAAGAGAATGCTTTATACTAAATTTATCCGACATCATACTGATTAAAATAATCGATACCTATTGAGTGTGCAGATGCATCAAGTGAATTGTCTATTAGTTGTCGAACAGCACATCCTAGCGAGACGATCACCTACAACCATCAATGAAGCAAATAAATCAAAGAATTCTAAGCTCTATCTTTCCCTCAACCGTGACATAATGGAAATCGTTTCCTAAGCCTAATATCCAAGGCTTTTGAGACTAGGTTGCTTTGAACAATACCATAAGCTGTT